AGGTTTCCATTAGCTTTCTTCTTATTATCATTCCTCTATATCAGCACCCATTGACCTCAACAACTCCTTCTTCTTTCTCATTCTTTTATCTCTCCCGTCCTTTTATCTTCTGTCTCTAACTCTAGTCCCTCTCATCTTTCTTTCTAGAAATTCCTGCTAGTCTATTTTTTTTCTTGCATCTTCAACCTTTTCTGCTTGCTTAATCCTCTTGAAATCTTTTGGCCCAAATTCCCATCCACTCTGCTTCATCTGTTTTGCATGCTATACCTACTGCTTAGGGATCTCTGGGGCATGAGAAAACCTGGCTTATTCCCTGCTGTCCTAGTTGTCTAAATAGACAGTTCCCCAGCATGTGTCTGCACACTTTCATTCACAGCGGTTGAAAGAACAGTATCCTTTAGGACTGGCCCAAGCTAAAATTAAGGCTGCAGACACCAGGCACCAAATGTTTCATTCAGCTCCCTGGTTTATCCTGTAGAGCCTCCAAATGGTTTCTATTAGTATTCTGCGGGAGAGCTCACCCATGGAATTAGTGAGAAACCAGACTGTCAATTTATTTATACCCAGCCTTAGGGCATAACCACTGTGCATGTGTAAAGCTATTGAGATGCAGAGAATATTCTTTAAGTGTGTATATATATGTATTGACTGGAAGTGAGTTTGCAGGGAAAAGCTGTTGCCCCAAGGACTGAACAGTGACCAAAAGTGGGAGAGGCCGCTGACGTGGCTGTGCTGCGTGCCAAAGATCCCTTTTCTCTGAGTACAGGAAACAATTGAGCCCTCTGAAATCTTTTGTCTACTTGTGTTTATTGTTAACTTCTAACTCCAATTTTACTATAGCTGTAGTTACCCTTGTGAAGAAATTTCTTATTTAACTTCTGGAGTCCTTCCACCTTCTTCAACAATATCTGCGTTATGAAACTGTTGCTGCCTTTGGCTGCAGGAGTGTTTCAAGCATATAAGTGATGAATAACAAAGTTTTTTTCCATTGCATTGTCATTTAGCCTGTGAAGCATTTCGAGGGCAAGTTGAGAGAGATTGGAAGCATTTAGTTGTGGGTATTTATTTGATGCATCAGTGCTGAGTATGAATGAACTGTTTTTCCGGTATGATTTGATCAATTTTGGCTAGGAAAATTTGTATTGATAATGTCCTGGCCAAATGATAAGTCAAGGGATAGGGTTTTTTTTCCTGCTCCCCAGTTTCCTATTACTATGATAGTGTCAATTAAGAGATGCAGGTGAGCATCCTACTGCCCCAGCTGTTATGCTAGCAACAGTTTTGGCAGAAAAGGCAAAAAAATGAATTGGTCTAACTAGATCAAGAGTTAATAGACTAAGTGTCTGTTTCATTCATCTCATTGGCTGTGTCGCCTACCTCTGGAATTTGTTTCTTCCCATGAAAAATAAATATATCCACAACTTGGACTGTTATTAGGCGTCATCTCCTTCCATGCTGTCTGTTGCAGTATGAAAATGTGAAAAGGGATTAGGAAAGGTTGTTTAGCTCTATTATTCTCTATCATAACCAGGAAACAATTAACCTGCTATCCCTTAACATGATGCCTGCAAAAGACTGCATGACAGGGTCCATGGGACCGATAGACATATTTGTATTGCACAGTGGAGTGTGATGCAGCAAGCTGATGCTGGTCCAGACTGGTACTTTCATGTAACCGAGAGCAGAAACTATGCCATGTGAGCTGATCATCGAAGTAGGATAGCTTTGTTAGCATGTTTCTGAGGCTGGACTAATTAGGACTGATGAGCTTGTCTGCAGCGTTCTGGTGCAGAGATACTGTTTCCTGCTTCAGAATTTGCTTAGATTCTCCTGGCTTGGGAGGCTTTGCACCATGCTCCACTGCTCACATAGACGTGTCTAAAGGAGGACAGAGCCATAAAGCATTGTGCTAGAGAGAAAGATGGGGGCACTGAGAATCCAGACTGGCAGGACGCTGCAGGGGAGGTGCTGTCAGGCAGAGCAGCTTCCTCCTGTGCGGCTGTGGCAAACGCACCGTATGTTATCACTACATGTAAAGGCACCACAGCTTCGCTGCCATGGAGGTGTGCTTCCTACCAGCATATTAACCAAACCAAGGTGCACCACTTCTACTGTTCTTTTCTTCTTTCTTGCATTTCTTGCAGAATATTTTCACAACTCTGAGTTGTAAGCACAATCTCAAAATTTTTACAACTGCGTGTGCTGCACAGCTACAAGGGAAATGCCTGGAGACCAGGCTTCCCTTTCAGCAGTACAAGAGGGACCGATTATTAACCACTACACCAGCTCCTGGCACTGCTGGTAGATGCCATCGATTACATTAGTCTGATATGTCAGTTCTGTCAGCAGCTTCAGTTTAATGGTAGTCATGCTACGCACCTCCAGCTCCACCCTCTGCTGAGAGCTGAGGAGGGAGGAAGGAGAGGGAGAGAATTATCTGAGTTAAAAAATAAAAGTCTGTCTGTGTTTGAAGTGAATAAAGTATGTTAACAAGTAATGCTCTAGCTGAGGTTTCCAGCTGTTACTCCTGAGGTGTCTGGTATCAAAGCAATATGGGTCCATTGTACAGCAACTAACTTCAGTGCGTGAGCAATTACTGTCTGAGGCTTCTGAGGTATATTATAGCTTTATTATTATTATTTCCCTGCTCGTAGTTTCTTAAGGCCTCTTCATATCCTGAATAATGCTCCAGGGAATCATAAAGCCACAGGCTGAGTTTTAGCATAGTCATTATTCGCATCTCCTGGATTGATAGGTATTTAGTATGTTGCCTTGATCTTGGAAGTAAGACCCTGAGATGCACCCCAGGGAAAGCCACGAGATGTTCTTTGTATTTTTTGCCCCTGACAAAATAACTCTTTTGCTGTGGAAATGACATATTTTTGCTCAGAAATGTCACCACTTCTGCCTGCCGATTGTAACTCTGCCACACTAAAATATCTTAAGTCTTTTAAAGTAAAATAATAAAACATTTAGGAATCTGTGCAGAGCTGCTAAGCACTCTCATTGTTTTGCGTTAATGACCCTTGGTTCCCATAAGCCTCTCCCTCTGTTTTCTTACTATTATTAATTATTGCTGTAGTTCATTGTACCTGGATCTTGCTTGGCAAAGCTTGCAGTGGAGGTGAATAGGATGTAGAGAAGAAATGATGTCAGAGATTTGCCCACTGTGATAAAAATGCTTAAGAAACTGTTCTGAGAGCAGAAATCAGTTCTCTGGAGACCCTAGACCCTGCCTGGTACTGGGGCTATGTTTTCTCAGATTGTTTGCGTGCTCTTCTGGGCAGGTCCTGTGCGTATCTAGTTGTCCGGCCACTCAGTATATGTTTGAGATGTCTATTATTTTTTGTTGTTCACGTTCATCATCATAATTACAGATTTGCGCTTTGCTCACAGGATCTCAGAAAGGAAGCAGATTTACAACTTCTTTATTATAAGAATATGCATTTTTTCATCAGATAGGGCATTTGTAATGCCAGATGATATTTGCATATGCTGGATCTGCTAGAGATGAAGTGGTGATTTTCACCCTGTCCAAGTAGTTCATGTCCTCTAACAAAAATGCACAAAAGAAAGCTTTGCAAGAGAGCTGCAGAAGTTCGCAAGAAATCTCTTCTTTCTTCCATCCACCTGCATGTTTTTGGCTCAGAAATAATCTCTCTCAGTTCTACAGAGCTGTTCAGACCCAAAGATCCCAAAGCACTTTACAAATGCAACAACTTTATACAGAAAAAAAAACCCCAACGTGAGATCAGAGCTCAGCCTCCTGTCATGGATTAGTGGAACAGTACGGGCTTCGTTACCCATAAGATGTTCACTAACAAATATCTAATAGAAAGTCAAGTACAGGCCATACTGACATGGAGTTCACATCATGTATATGGCTACTGCCAGGACAGTGAGCGTGGACTCCTGGGAGTTATAAGGAAACAGTCTTGGAAATGGAGCTGGAGCTCTTGGCCGCAGAGATGTTTTGTGCTGCAAAAGCGCATAGGGTTGATATTGGCAGAGGCAGCAATTGTTCAGCAATTGATTCAACCCCTGATGTGAAAGCATTAAGGAGTACGTGTGATGCGGTCACTAAATGCCAAAGATGAAGGATTTTGCAGTTTCTTAGTTTCTTTTTAGCATATCTGAGCTTTGTTTGTCTCCTGCCTTCTCACCACTTGCATGAAACTGCCATTGATTACATTGACTTACTCCTATGCAGGCCCTTGGTGTGTTTCTTCTTTGCTAGATCTTTATTTTATTTTTTTAATTAGTGAAAAAACAAACACAGGCTATTCATAATCAGGGTTCTTCCAAGCAAGGATCCACAACTTGGAGGAGTCCTCCCTTGAAAGATGATGTTGATAATCCAAACCCTGTTTGTGCTTCTCTGTCTCTGATTATCTCTGCTGGAGACACATCAGCTTTAAATAGACTGAGAAATTCCTTAGAGGTGTTTGTTATTTTGCAATTACTTTGCAATTGATTTTCTTAAAAACCAATTCATAACTTGTTAAATATCTCTTCCCCCTTTCTCCCCCCCCCCCCCCCCCCCGCAGCCTTTTTTATCTTTGCCACTGCCCAGCGTTTATAACCATAGGACCTATTTTTTTCCCATGGCTTAGGGAGAGGACTCATCTACAGAGAGAAAGAAAAAATGAGTGCTAATGATTTGTAAAAGTGGATTTACAGTCAGATCCTCCTGGAGTCTAATTCTTACAATGCCTTCTTCTGTGAATGTAGTCAAGGCAGTTAAACTATTTGCCTCTGTTTCCCCATTTGTAAAATAGAGGCTATTTTAGAATAGCTTCTGTAGACCAAGTGCTATCAGTTAATTGACAAATGATTCTGTAGGGGAAATTTCCATATGTAGCAAACGTGAATGAACCCCTAATTCAGAACGGAAGGATGGACGCTAAGAGTTGTCCTCCTTCTGCAGAACAAGCCTGACCCTTTCCATGTACCTGTGAAATGCACACTCAGCAGTGAAACTTTCTGCTTCTCTCCATCAGGGCCTGCAGCTGGGAACCCAAGAGCTGGAGGAGATGGGAAGCAAGTTTTGCCTTGGTTTGCTCATTCTGCACCTCAAATCCCTGCCCTGCAGCAGGAAGGTGATGGCTCAGGCAGCACTCCTGTTAGATCTGGAGGAGGAGGTAACAGACCGGGTACAAAGGTCAGTGATAGTAGTATTCAGAGGGTTCTCCTGTGGGAATCAAGTTAGGGGGATATGTTTTGGGTTTAAATCTGCAGAAAAGGACTCTTCTTATGGCTGAGATTTGCATCTTGGGAACTGGAGTGTATTGAGAGTGACTGGAAATGAAGATACAATTGACTCCCAAAGAAACTACTAAAACAGTGGTTCCATGCCCTGCAGCCATCCACGTGGGTAAAAAAGTGAAATAAAAGGACCTGATTTCTATTTTCTGGTGAATATCCATTTTCCTATCAAAACTGCTTACTGGAGAATAGGAATGGTACTGACCCAGAAAAATGGAACAAAAGAGCAGGAAACATTTTGCTGCTCACTGGAGTGTCAGGTGGTGTTCTGTCCACCTCAAATCCTCCATGGAGAGGATGTTTTACAAGGAAGACGTTCTGTAAGAGCTGCAGGGTAGGGAAGAAATATTGCAGATTAGAAAAGGACTTTGATAGCATGATTTAGAAACTGTAAGTCTGATTCTGCAACGATACTCCCAGAAATTCCTCTTTTCCTCACTGACTTGAGTCCTGCAGACATTTAGAGAATAGATTTGTGACTTTTTGATGCATAGGAAGAAATCATGATCCCACTGATTATTTAGGAGGTGTTTTTTCTAAATTGCAAAATTAATTTATTTGCTTCCTACATTCAGTGGGATGTATTTAAGTGAGGTTGTTCCGTTATAAATATATGGGGAATTTGACCTGGATAAGCGTCAGAGTATGGGACTCTTCAGCTTGAATTTGTGGTGAAGCAGAAATAGAACAGAAATTCTTTCTAGGCCACCGTCACTTGTTAGTTCTATGTGCAAGCACATATGCTTGCAATAATGTTTTTCCAAGACAAATGGAGAAAGAAAACTTAGTGATGTGATGTGATTTGAAACTCCCCAATGGCTTTGTCATCAAAGAGCTCTCTCAGCTTCATCAATGAAAAGCAAGTTTTTCACTTGCAGAAATGCCCCTATAATTTATAGCAGGCTTCCAGTCTTCCCCCTGCAGGAATACTTAACCGACGTTACCACCACCTGTTCCTCATGCCAAAAACCATTCTTACAAGCTTGTTCGCAGCTTTAAATGTTTATGAGGGACAATGAAAAAAGAGGGCTAAAACGTACAGACATTCCTTTGGATTAGCTGTGCTCGCTTGTACATGTGAACATATAAAAGAAACAATTAAGGCGTATACTGAACACCCATGTTGTGGACAGCCATCCGACAAATCATTGGTATATCATGAGCGAGAACTACTGAAGCCTGGCTAGGTGGATGGCTTTGAGATATAAATCAAACTCTCACTTTTGAACTGGAGCTAGAAGGGCTTTTGCATGAAAATAACTTATCTTATGGGAAGAAAAACATCAAACCCTGGCTAGCCTCAGACACTGAAAAAAAGCCATCTGGTCACAGTAACTCAGTGAGCATTTTCCCTGATCTTTGTAGTCTTCTGTTACTTTTTCCTTTAGCTGGTTTTATATTAATAGGAATTCATTCCATTTTCCCAATATTGTGTGGTAGTTAATCAGTACCAAAATAATAGTAAGAAGCTCTCTAACTACAAATATTTTTAAAGACGTTAACAAAAAAAAAGAAAGTTCCCTTACTTTGTAAAACTCGCATATTGTTCCAAATGTGTCCATGATAGCTGAAAGCAAAGCCTTATACCCCTTCAAGTTTGCCCGGCATTAGTGAGTCCCTCCATGGCATCCAGGGATGTAAAGTCAGTGCTAAAAGCCAGCGTGACAGTTACTTATTCCTCTTCACTCCACTGGGTATAATTGCAGGTTTGTAGAATTTTAGTAGCTTAGGTGCAATTTGTTACCATTTGCAGACCAGGTAAACAGCTGAATTGTTTAATCCCACCTCGATATGTCATATTGCAGGAGCCTGTTGCAGAAGGCTGGGAGGAGGGAGGTGCAGGGACCAAAGGATTTGCTTTTCTTTTTTAAAAACAAATAAATAATGGAAAATGTTTGTGCAGTATATTCATTCTGATTCAGAAAATTAATACTTCGCTCCTGGATTTCTGTGAATCTAGTCAAGAGAATTGCACGATTTTATTTTAGTGGGAATAAGAGCCCTACTGGAACCAATGGAAGAATGCAGAATATAGAGAGCACACTGATACAGGCAGGAGGGCAGCTATTTCCACACCGCTCTCTCAACTCACAGACTTTGAAAAAAAAATTATTCTCCGTCAAAACATTTCTCTGGAGGAAGCTGAGGGGTACCACTCAGTCTAATCTTACTCCATAAAGATTAAATTTAATCTAGCTCTTTTAGGTAACACAAGGAGGTCACCAGTGCCTTGCAGCTTACTGGTGGTATATCGTTACATCAATGGAAATTATAGTTTGCTGCTTCCTAGACTAGGCTCATCTTTATGGGTTTAAGGAGAATGAAATGTTTGTAGTTTAAAACTAGCTCTGTCGTCTTCTGTGGCTACCACAAAAATGCACAGCATCCTTGAATGCTTTCTAAACCCTCTGCTTCCGAAAGTGTGAGTAGATGTGAATGAAAATACCCAATTTTTTCTGTGCCTTTGCCAAAGCAGAGTCAGACTTGGGTATCCTTCAGGTGCAGCACAGGAAAAGTCTGGGCAGTTACCTTTTGTGATTTTTTTCTTATATGCTTTACATCATGAATAGCGGTGGCTTTAAACAGCTTGCAGGCTGTCCCTATTCCAGAAGTCTGCACTGTCCTGGTCCCAGGAAATGATATGCATGATAGATATTTAAGTGGGAAGCAATGGCTCTGACTGTAGCTAATGTTTTCTGGCAAAGGAAAGTGTGTCCCAAAGACTGTCCTGCTGACATGTCTAGAAAAAGGTACAAATATAGGTGATTCTTATGAGAGCAGTATTCACCAATATCAAAAGAAAAGAATTAGTATTGTTCAACCTTGATGAAAAAGTAAGCTTTATTTAGTTGTTAGGGTTTTGTTTTGTGGAAAGCAAGCTGAAATTATGCTGTGAGCAGTGTGATGCATTGCACAGTGCTTAAGTTAAATATGTCTGTCTCAATCTAATGTGTTTCCTTAATACGTGTTTCTGAGTGCCCATCTCTGTAGTACTCTGGGTGACAGGTCAAGCTGTGGAACAAGAAGTTAATCCAGCACTCTGGATATAGCTGACTCCCAGATGAAATGTCTCATTGCAAAGGTACATAGATCAAAAGCTGTGGAGCCAGAGATCTCTTCTGTTGTGAAATCCCTGCAGTTCATGTCCTGCATTTGTCTCTCTTTGCCCTGGTGTCTGTGTGCGTGGCATTGACTTGGCATCTCGGCATCTCCCTCCGACAGCAAACATTTTCCCCTGTCAGGGTTTATAACTGTATGTGTCTTTTAATTTTCCTCTTCAGGCTGTCTCTGCTCTGGATATTTTGCAGCCTTTTTAATTCACTACTGCTGTGAAGGGGATGAAGGAGCAGGCTGGACCCTGCCTGCTTCCCTGGAATAAATTATTTGCTGTGCACCTTACATAGCTCTGTCAGAATCAGTGGTCAGTGAATTGGAGCAAGGTAATAGCTGCCAGGGAAGTGACTGGTCTAATGGAGGCACCCTGTGTGAATGGGGGATTTCTCACACCAGACCAGGTCCATTGTGTTCAGTGTACTGTCTCTGATGAGCCAAAGAAAGGTGGAAGAAACCTTTAGCAGACCTAACTTAAATAGAGTTTGTACACAGGCAAGAATTTCTTCCTGTCCCCAGTTTACAGTCTGTCTTTCTCCTAAAGTCTGAACAGTAAACAGAATCATTTACAAGCATGAGTGGGATAACCGTTGGCACAAGTTTGCAGCAGAGGCAGAATAGCAAAGTAGCTGCATCTGAGAATAAGCAAAGGGGACTGAACTTCCGTCAGTGGGGTTATACTGCTAATAGGAGAGTAGAATTTTCCCCTAAAACTGGGAAATCCTTGGACATCATGAAGTTGGCCTAACAGCTCTGTGTTACTGGTCCTCAACATGTCTATATGGCGGCTGTCTCACGAACATGCCAAAAGGTGGAGAAAGTATAAGTTGCAGTACACACATAAGACACATTAGAGCTACAATGCGTGATGGTGAGGAAGAGGGGTTAAATTGCTTCAGGTATTAGCCGGACTCTTAATTAGCACCCTGTGCTCCTGGGACACTTCATATTCACTCTTCTCACACTTATTCAGGCATTACCACCCTCACGTTCACCAGACCTACTTAGGGACCCAGTTGTTTGTGGCTTTTCTTTTCACAAGTGATATTTAGGTGTTTTTCTGCATCAGCTATTTTCTCCACCACCATTCAATAGGGCTGGTCTTACGGACCACTCTGACAAGGTCAAAGGCCAATTATGTGGAGAATTTTCTGGGCTTTGCAGCCACCTTCAAAAAAACAAAGCAATGTGTCAGGTGCTCATACAGGCACTTTATTCTGCCATTTCCCAAACTTGACCTCACAAGCATGCTATTGCCATGCCCCAGGAAGAATCACTATTTTGCATTTCCAGCCTCCCGCCATGCCTTGCAGTCAATTCTGGCATTCAGAAGCTCTCTGCTGGGGAAACTAAATGCCAGCTTGTACTTCAGACATTGTGTTTTTTGATAATAGGTTTCATGCCTCATTTGCTGTAAAAGCAATAAGGTTTTAAGTCAGTGCTGTCCAGGTAACTTCACATTTGTCATGACCACAAAAAAGGATGGGAAGTGACTGTTTATTCACTTAAAGCAGGTTTAAGAGAGAGAGAAAGCAAGAGCAACCCCCCACTATAGGTATCCTCCCCTTCTTCCTCATGGTTTCAACTGATGGCACATTCCTTCATTTTCTTTTTCTCTGTCCTCCAGGTTGTGCTAGGGAATCTTTTGCATGCACTGCAGCAATTGTAGCCATTTGTTCATGAGACACATCTTATATGTTGAGACAGGCTTTTGCAAAGTTATTATGCATTTTCTGCTGACTCAGATATTATTCATCTCATAGAATCATATAATCATTAAGGTTG